TGAATTTTTTGTTTTTTTATATTGGAGTTGATATGCCATGTTATCAACGAAAGAATATAATTTATTTCTATAAAAAAATGAATTATAATCACATGGTGGAAAAACTCGGGCAAGATTCACATTAAGGTGGACCCATTTTGTTGTCAGGATTACACATCTTTGATTTGTTGGATTTTGATTTAATTTACAATTTTTTTCATTATTCACTCTACTCAAAATAATACGAATCCTGTTGCTGAAACAATTATGTAAAATTGTTTATATGTAAAATAATATATAAACAATTTAGATAATAATTTATGCATTAGTCCTGTTGCTGATTTTGATTTGTTATTTTTTACTTATTATTTTGCAGATAAATAATTTAGACATAATTTGTGTATTTAAATATATTGTTGTTAAGGAAAAAATAAAAAAATTTTGATAATAGAGTAAATAAGTAAAGAGAAAAAATAAAAATAAAGTTAAAGTTAAAAATAAAAATTTATCCATTTTAAAAAAATAAAGTTAATAATTAATTTAAAATGAATTTTAAATAAAAAAAGTTATTATTAAGTTTTTTTTTTAAACACTTGTTGGTCACAACTGACTAAAATTTAGAGTGGTTAAAATTAAAGTTAGGTGCTAACGACTTAAATAATTTAATATTAATTTTTTTTGTTAAAAATAAAAAAATTTAAATTTAAATCGTATAATATCCAAGTTGAGTGAAATAAGAGATAAAAAATGTTCTTTCTTGTTGTGCAACTAACATAAAAAAAAAATTAAAATTAGGTCGGTTTCTTAAAAGCACGCAATTCTGCTAGATTTTAGGATAAAGATTAAATAATTATTAAAAATTAAAAATTATGTAAGTTTTTTGATAAAAAAATTATGTAATTTTGAGATAGAGTCCAAAGATATTTTTTAAAAAATATTGTATATTTTAGATTAGATGATATTGTATAATATTAATTATTAGATAATAAATAACTCATTTAATATTAAAAGTTTTCATTTATTTATTAATTTGTATATTATATTTTAATAT